AACTCATTATATAGGAGTTTAAAGAGATGATTTAAATGTACATTTATCAATATGGATAGAGTTTAAAAAAACAGATCTGGGTAAAAAAGTATTAAACAAAAATGATGCAATGGTCAAATATTTGCTTCCTGCCCAATTCACTGAAGCCCCCTTGTGGTTCAGATGGTAAAGAGTTCCACCTGCAATGCAGAAGACCAGGATTTGATCCCCAGGTTGGCAAGATCCCCTGGAGAAGGAAATGGCAACTCCAGTAATCTTGCCTGGAAAATCCCACGGATGGAGGAGCCTGGCAGGTACAGTCTATGGAGTCACAAAGAGTCGGACTTGACTGAGCGACTTCACTTTCACTTTTTAGTTCATATCTTGAAGTTCTAACCCGCAATGTGAAGGTCTTAGAAGGTGGGGCCAGTAAGTGAGATTGGAGAAAAGATGGCAGAATAGAATGATTTGAGTTTACCTTCTCTCACAAAAACACCAAAATCACAACTAACTGCTGAATAACCATCCACAAAAAGAGTAGAATCTACCAGAAAAAATATTCTACATGCAAAGACAAAGAAAACATATCACAAGATGCTAGAAGGAGCACATTTACTATATAATCAAACCCCATATTGGCTGGGTAGGCTTCTCACAAACTGGAAAATAATTACATTGCAGAAGTTGTCCAATAGGAGTGAGAGTTCTGAGCCCCATATTATGCTCTGGGGGTCTGGCATTGAGAATGGAGGCCCCAGAGCATTTATCTTTGAAGGCCAGCAGGGCTTGTGTGTGCAGGCGCTCCGCAGGACTTGAGGAAATACAGACTCTACTCTGGGACAGCGGACACAAATTTCCATATGAACTGGGACCCAGGGCAAAGCAGTGACTCCATAGGAGCCCATAGATCTACTTGCAAATCTTACAGAGTCTTCTGGGGAGCCAAGGATCAGGTGTGGCCCATTGGCAGGGCAAGGACTTTGATGATGGAAGTCCTAGGGAATATTCCTTGGTGTGTGCTCCCAAGGATTGACATTTTTGCATGGAGACCTGGCCCCACCCAATAGCCTGTAGACTCCAGTGCTGGAATACTTCAGACCAAACAACCAACAGGGTGGGATCACAACCCCACCCATCAACAGACGAGCTTCCTAAAGCTTTCCAGAACCCACAGCCACATCTAAAGATTGACAGTAATACAATTATGGTGGGGGACTTTTACACCCCACTTACATCAGTAGACAGATCACCCAGGCTGAAAATCAATAAGGAAGCACAGGTCTTAAATGATGCATTAGGACAAATAGACTTAAATGATGTTTATAGAGGATTCCGTCTGAAAACAGCAGAATACACATGCTTGTCAGGTGCACATGTAACATTCTCTAGGATAAATCACATGCTGGGTCACAAGACAAGCCTTGGTAAATTTAAGAAGATTGAAACCACATCAAGCTTCATTTCCAACCACAACAGTATGAGCTTAGAAATAGATCATGGCAACCCACTCCAGTATTCTTGCCTGGAGAATACCATGGACAGAGGAGCCTGGTGGGCTATGGTTCATAGTGTCGCAAAGAGTCAGACATGACTGAAGTGACTTAGCATGCACATAAGAAAAAAACTAAAAATTACAAACACATGGAGGCTAAACAATATGTTACTAAACATATTGGGGAAGTTCAATACAATATTACCTCAGGAAATAAGAAGAATCTCAAACAACCTAATCCTACACCAGGGCAACTGGAGAAAGAAGAATAAGCAAAACCCAAAGTCAGTAGAAGGAAAGAAATCATAAAAATCAGAGTAGAAATAAATTAAATAGAGAAGAAGAAAAGAACAGAAAAGATCAATGAAACTAAAAATTTGTCCTTTGAAAAGACAGAAGTAACTGATAAACCTTTAGCCAAACTTATCAAGACAAAAAAGGAAAGGGTTTAAATCCATAAAATTAGAAATATAAAAGAAGTTACACAGACACAGAAATACAAAGGGTCATAAAGGGACTACTACAAGCAACTATAGGCCAATAAAATGGACAACCTAGGAGAAATGGACAAATACTGAGAAAGGTACAGTCTTCTAAGACTAAACCAAAAAGAAAAAGAAAATATGAACAGACTAATCACAAGTACTGATATTGAAACTATGATTTACAAACTCTCAACAAAGTTCAGGACCAGATGACTTCACAGGTGAATTTTATCAAATGTTTAGAGAAGATTTAACACTTATTCTTCTGAAACTATTCCAAAATTTGCAGAGGAATGAATACTCCCAAACTCATTCTTTGAGACTAGCATCACCCTGATACCAGAACCAAAGATATATTTAAAAAAAAGAAAATTACAGACTATTATCACTGATGAATATAGATACAGAAATCCTCACCAAAATACTAGCAAACTGAATCTAAGCATATATTAAAAGGATCATACACCATGATTTCATGCAGCCATGAAATTAAAAGACTTGCTCCTTGGAAGAAAAGCTATGACCAACCTAGATAGCATATTAAAAAAACAAAAAACAAAAAAACCTCTCCATATAGTGGGCATTTTTTTTGGGGGGAGTGGGGGGAATCCTTTCCAGATAGTGGGCATAGAGGGAACTTAACATAATAAAGACCATGTACAGGAGGTGGCTTTCTCTCTGGTGACTCAGATAGTAAAGAGTCAGCCTGCAATGCAGAAAACCAGGATTCGATCCCTGGGTCAGGAAGATGGCCTGGAGAAAGGAATGGCAACCCACTCCAGTATTCTTGCCTGGGGAATTCCATGAACAGAGGAGCCTGGTGGGCTACAGTCCATGGGGTCACATAGAGTTGGACCCGACTGAGCAACTAAGACTTTCATAGGAGGTGGGGCCTTTGGGAGGTGATTAGGTCATGAGTCGGATTAGTGCCTTGTAAAAGATATCCCAGAGACCTCTAGCCTCCTTGCTCTCCACCATGTAAGGATACACCGAGAAGTCTGAAGCCTGCAATCTGCAAGATAGTCCTTTCCAGGACCGGAGCGTGTTAGCGTGCTGACTTCAGTCTTCTAGCCTCCATTACTGTGAGAAATAAATTTCTGGTGTTTGTAAGCCACTCAAGCTATGGTGCTTTTTAATAGCAGTCCAAACTGTCTAAAACAAGGAATCTATAACACAATAAATTAAAAGCATGAGCTATACACAAAACAAAAACTATACTTTTGTGAGAATTATTACAAACAAAAGAATATATGTGAAATATATTATGGTTTCCTGCAAGAGGAGGTGAATGAGAATAAAGGAGAAGAAATAAATAGTAGCAACTGGAGAAGGAGGGCTTCCTGACAATACAGGAGACGTAGGAGACATGAGCTCAGCCTTGAGGTTGGGAAGATCATCTGGGAGAGGAAATGGCAACCCACTCCCATATTCTTGCCTGGAAAACCCCATGGACAGAGGAACCTGGAGGGCCACAGTCCATGGGGTTGCAGAGTCAGACTTGACTGAACACACACGCCNAAAGACAAAAAAAAAAAAAAAAAAAAACCACCAAAAATCCAAGTAGAGAAGGGACTTGCATGCTCATGATTATTATGAGCATGATTATCACCTGTTTATCACATGATTATCTCATGTTATCACCTAACAACCTTTGTATCTGAAGTTCTTTTACATCTACAAATGTATGCTTTACTGAAGTTTCGAAGTCCACTTTCTAACACTTATAGGTGAACCTCTATAAGTGCATTTCTTTCACTTTTTTGAAAAGATCCACTGCATTCCTCTCCATTTACTTCAGTAGAAAGAATGTCAGCCTAAAGTGACACCAGCAATGTTGGCTGTAAAACATAAAACAATTTTAAAATTCTCCTGATAATTTGTAACTATCTCTCAATGTTCAAAGAAATTACGTGTCTTTTTAACTAACATTAATTAATTATTAGTACTTTCACATTGAGGAGGTTGTGTGGGGTCCCACAGGGTCAGAAGAAGAAAAGGGGTACTGGGGTCTACAACCAAGTTTTTTCTGGCATTCCTCAAGAAATGATTGCTAAAGCTAATCTTTAAGGTACTGTGAATATAGAAGAATGGAGGGTATGTATCAATCTATAAATGTAATTTTTGATTTGGGGGAATGAGACTGCAAGACAGAACATATATGAATAATTTAATGAGAATTGAAAATATAACTTATAAACTCCATCAATAATATTACTGTAAATATGTTGCAACTGGGTATCCACCTGGACAAAGATCAAATAGTGATAGAAAAAATGAAACTGGTTTGAGAAAGAAAGGAAATGTCTTGAATAAAAAAAGATTCTTTGACTAAAACAAACCAACATACCTGACATTTCCACTCTTTTAAAATAACTCTATGCTCTGTGGCTCCTTGTCAAGGAAGTTAACTTGACCTTAGTTTTTGAGTGACGGTTCACACACATCATGAGCAGAGCTATCATACAAATGAGGTTACTTTTGGGGGGATGTAGGGCTGTCCTGTATTTCAATTTTAACAAAGTTGTTGGCATTACATTTCAGTATTTCACAATGTCTATGATTTCTATCTTAATTAGCATGTTTATGAGATAACATAAACATTTATAATCCTCTTTTCTTTTTTCATTCTTAAAAAATAGTTTAAATCTTAAAATGTGGTCTAAAAAAAGCATGTGGTTTTACATATAACCACTTCTGGTATGATTAAGCTTTTCATTTGGGTAATATTGTGGTAGAATGAAGGAGTGATGGACTGGGATACCTTGGCTTCTGTTCTCTCACTTTTAAGGGAGGTGGTTGAGTTCTATAAAGAGTGATTATCAGAATCACCCATGTGCCGGATTGTAGATTCCCTTAGCCCCCTCTCCCCACCCATCCATCCCATCAGACACCGACTCAGAAGGTCTGGAGTGGGGCCTTGGAATCTGCAAGATGATTATGGTGCAAGTGGTCTTAAAATCATGTTTTAAGAAATAGTAGGGGAAACAACTAACAAAAATTCCTTCCACCTGCATTATTTTATGATAGAATTTTATCTGACTTACCAGGTTTTCACTAATCTCCCGTAATTCCATAAACTGATATTGGCTATTTGGTCCAGAATTACGGTTGACTCGTAGATCTGAAATTTTAAAAGTGGCATGATAATACTCCATTTTCTCGTCTGTGATGAAAAGAAAAGCCATGAAATTGAGTGGTTTTAAGGATAGATTTTGGGATCTAAGGTCCAACTACGATGAAGTCTTGAATATATATCTGAGATTTTACTTTAGTATAATAATAAATACAATAAAAATAATGATTAATGCTCTATGTTAATAATAGTTGTTGTTCAATCACCAAGTCTAAGATTGGCATCACCTTCATTTTACATATGAAGAAAGTGAGGCATGAGACATTGAATAACTTGCTCTGAGCTATACAACTAGTGAGTGGCTATCCAAGTTTAAACCCAGACGTGTAGCTCTAGAGGTGGCATATTTAATTACTATATTGCTTCTTGCTGAGGTGAAATGTATACCACCTTACTGAAAGTGGAGGTAAATGAGTATTTTTGTAAATTTTGATCTGTAATGGAAGACCAAGGGACACAAGAAAGATGTGAAAAGAAAGGCAGGGAAAAGACGGTCTGAGGCTGGAGGTGAGGAGTGTGTAATAGGAATGAATCAATCAGATCTCTGCTTGTCCCTCAGGAAAGGGAAGAAAACTTTGACTCCTGAGGAACGTGGTAATCTTAGGAGTATGGTACCAGTAGGCAAGAAACCTGCAGAGTTCAAGACAGAGAATGGAGAAACACAGAGCTCCTCTCTCCTTAGGGAGCCATGGATCTAGTTAAGGAAGGGGGCCTCAGGATGGTCGGTCTCTTAGGGACATCTCTGGACTTGGTAGCACCTTTTTTTGGCCCCTCCAATAACTAATCTACATGGTCCATCTTATAATTGAACATTATACTCACAGTGAAGGGGCTTCTATATGCTAAATGAACTGACCTGAGAACTTTTGCCATTGGTGTAAACTAAGGATAGGGTTATTATATGAGGCCCAGGGCTATGTTTTTAGAAGCCCTGTAAAGTTGCTAAAAGAATCTTCACTGTTCCACCAAGTCTGGGGAAGATGACAACAGATAAGTCCATTTCAGTAAAAACTAGTTGTTTTTATCACATACGCCTGTGGGAGATTGACATTGTGGGCATTTATCCAAAATGTTTTTGCATTCTGCAGAGTAACGAAATACAAAGAGAATTCTGAAATGAATTTTTGTGGAAGTATAAATATATCCGGTAACAGAAAAATAATCCCTGAATATTGTTTTTGAAAGAGTACATTTTTTTCTGTAAAAATAAGTAATCATATTGCATCACACTTGTAGTTTATTAATCATTTCAAAATTCATTATCTCATTGGACATGTATTTGTTTTCCTCTAGAAATGCTAATAGACAGAAAATGCTGAGTAAAAAAGCCAATTTTAATCACCAATTCATCAAAATTTTTCACTTGCATATATATGAATGATTAGAGTTTGTTATGATTATTGGTAAATTTTAGACAATATTTTGATCTTTTGTGTAGACACTCAAAAGAATACTAGATTGTGAGCTCCAAGGAGGTGAGAAATTTATCTGCTTTGCTTAATGCTGTTTTTTGGTGCCCTGAAAAATACTCGAACATAATAGACAGTTGGTGATGAAATGATTGAATAAATTAAACACTTCAAAATGTGGACATTTACTAGTGAAAGTACATTATTTTTGGATGGAATTAAATTTGCACATGTACAAATGAAGCTTTACAGAAAAAAATGAATCAAACTGAGCGAAATCCATAATTTTACGTACCAGAGACTAAGAAGTGAGCCAGAAGACCGATAGCCGCAGCCACCACTGTCAGTAACAATACAGTGAGAAGGGCAATCATCCATGGTTTCAAACCTCTGCTTCGGGTGTCAAATCCTGCCGCTCTGCAAAAAGGAAAACTCACCAGTTACTCTCATGTTGCAGTGGTTACAGGCTTTCTGGTTCTTCTTGGATAAGCACATATTGCTTTAGCCTACCTCAGCAAGAAGACAGTTGTCTTGAATTTATGTCAAGGTTGGGGGTTTCCAGGTTGTGCTAGTGGTAAAGAATCTGTCTGCTAATGGAGGAGATGTAAAAGAGGTGGGTTTGATCCCTGGGTCAGGAGGATACCCTGGAGCAGGAAATGGCAACTCACACCAGTATTCTTGCCTGGAAAATTCCATGGACAGAGGAGCCTAGTGGGTTACAGTCCATAGGGCCATAAGAAGTTGGACACGATTGAGCGACTGAGCACTTAATCAAGGTCACCTTGGAATTAAGGAAGGTATTAAGAAGATCAGGATCTGAGAATCCATACTACTGCTCCTAGATTCTATTTCTAGAGGCATTGGATGGATCTCTGTGGTGGCCAGTCTTAGCATGTGGTACAAAGTAGTACCTGTGCATGAGAAAGAACTATTCCTTCTTTCTCCAATAGTCTTTTTAAAAATCTCTTTATCTATCTATAGTTTTAAAGTTTACAAAATGATTTCAAATCTATTGTCTTATTCACTTTTTAATCTTTCATGTTTAACTATTATAAAAATTTTCAGATGCAGAAATTTAGGAAAAATATTATACTAGAACATCATTTTATCAGTTTGTTAACATTTTGCTATAATGGCTTTACTCATTTTTTTCTTCTGTATTTTAATGTAAAATAGAAGATCATGATTTTTCGTAATACCAAATCCATCTTCAGGTTTCCTTTTTTGTCCCTATTATATTTAGAGATGGTTTGTACAAATCAAGGACCTCATAGTAGTGTGGTTGTTATGTCTTTTAAGTCTTTTTAAATATTTGAATACTCATCACTTTTTAATTTTTAATGACATTGACTTGTTGAAGAGATCAAGCCAATTTTCCCTTAAAATGACCAGCTTCTGGACTTCTCTGAATGTTTTCGTGTGATCTCATTTAATTTGTCATTTCTTGTGAGTTTAAATTTAGATCTAAAATACTTGATTAGATTTTAATGCATTTGACAAAATATTTCAAAAATGATACTGTATATTTTATATTGCATCACCTCTGAATTAGAGGAAATTACCACAGTTTAGGAGGGAAGAAGTAAATCTTTGCTGTTTCTCGAGATATGCTCAAGAATAGTGCTAATCACTTTGTATTAACTTTATTTTCATGTATATTAGCCTATACTTACTTGTGAACTCCTCAATGTGTTGGGCTTCCCCGGTGGCTCAGATGGTAAAGAATCTGCCTGCAATGCAGGAGACCCAGGTTTGATCCCTGGGTGGGGAAGATCCCCTGGAGAAGGGAATGGCTACCCACTCCAATATTCTTGCCTGGAGAATTCCATGGACAGAGGAGTCTGGTGGGCTACAGTCTGTGGGGTTGCAGAGTCAGACACACTTTCTGTGTGTTAGTTGCAAAGCAGCTAACACTTTCCTCAATGAGTTAAACTAGTCTTATTTATTTATTTTTTTTATTATTAAGATCTAATAAGGTATCTAGTACAAAGTGAAAATTTTATAAATCCATGAGAATCAGGCAGGTATTACATCAGCTTTTCATATGAATTGAGTGAGGTTGAGAGAGAGGATATGGTATTTGTTAGTCAAGAGTCTTGAAAGGACATGTAACTCATTTTCTAGTGTTCCTTCTCTGCCATTTGCCATTGTAATCAATTTATCCCTTTCATTAGAATTTATCTTTTTGTGTGTGTGTATTGATAAGCTAAATTCTTTGGGGGCAGAAGCTATTTTTCATGTTTTACAAAATTTAGTGCATTGATTTACTGTAAATAGTAGATATTGTTTAATCACTAAGCCATATCCAACTCCTTGCAACCCCATGGACTGTGTCCAGCCAGGCTCCTCTGTCCTTGGGATTTTCCAGGCAAGAATATTGGAGTGGGTTGCCATTTCCTTCTTCAGGGGATCTTCCTGACCTAGGGATAAAACTCAAGTCTCCAGCATTGCAAGCAGATTCTTGACCACTGAGCCACCAAGGAAGGCCACTCTAATAGGCTTTTTAACAAATATTAATTGATTTTCAGTAAGTCTTTTAAAATATAAAATATCTTCATATATATATGCCAGCTTTATACAAACTATTTGGATCTAAGTAGTTAGGTGATAGTTTGGGCATAAAAATTACATTTAGCCAATAAACCTAGTAGAATTTGAGAGACCTGAATTCTGTTGGTTACGGAAAATACTGACAATGCACGTTTGACTGATTGAAAAGAATCTAGACAACTCCCTGTGGAAAGCTCTTTCCACAAGAGCTAAGGTGCCAGAACATAAAAACAACAGACAGAAGCTTCAAGAGAGATTACATTACTTAGCCTCTTAGTTGACTTAAAATCTAAATTCAGAAATGAAGGATAACTTATAGACTATTTAGTACAATGCAGCGCAATTTCCAGTTAAGGAAGCTGAGGCCTACAGATGATTAAGTGACTTCTTCAATATAGAAGAACTAGCAGTCATCTCACACTCCTGTCTTTTAACTTCAGGGACACTATTTTTTTTCTCAGTGCCAGAGTAACATTCCCCCTTCTCCAATGCTGATTGCATTTTAATACTTAACTAGATTATTATAATACACACACACACACACACACACACATATATATTCATATTGGACTTCACTGGTGTATTGGATGGTAAAGAATCTGCCTGCAATGCAGGATACCCGAGTTTGATCCCTGGTTGGGGAGGATCCCCTGGAGAAGGGAATGGCTACTCACTCCAGTATTCTTGCCTAGAGAATTCCATTGACAGAGGAGCCTGGTGGACTATAGTCCATGAGGTTGCAAAGAGTCAGTTCATTCTTCATTTATGATCATGTATGATCATTTATTTTCTTAGAGAATCTTTTTTTATTATTATTTTTTTCATGTATTTTTATTAGTTGGAGGCTAATTACTTTAGAATATTGTAGTGATTTTTGCCATACATTGGATCTTATCAGTGTATCTTCACTTCATTCAAAACTAAAAATAGATTAAAGGAGAAAGACTAGATCTCAAGGAGATTCACAAACTTTCAAGTTTATCTTCCCATCATGACATAGTTCCTCTGAGTAGTACAAATGAGGAAAATAGACAAAGCAAGATCACATCCCCACCATCAAGAGTTATGCAGACTCACACTATTACAGACTATGAGACAGTAGGCAGGGGAATGTTTCAACACTCATTGACATGCTTCTTCAAGTGCCCTGGCAGTCACATCCCCAAATCCCATAAAAGGAGCTGTGAACATTGGGGGGCAGATGGTGGCTAACAGACAGGGATGATACATTGTCATTTAGAGTATGTCTCCTTTTTCAGAAAATCTTTGGGGTATGTATTGGGTACACAATGCCAAATTGTGAAAGCTGCAGGATTCATAGGTTAAAGCCATAGCTACTTAATCCTATATGAATAAACTTCAACTCAATATCGACTTTGATGAATATGAACAAGAAATGCATGAAAGCAAATATACATCATCAACCACCCATTATGAAGAGGTTCTGCTAGTGATTTGCATCATATCACTTCAGATTTGAAAAGAAATATACTTCATAAAGCCTCTTGGAATCTAGCCTGTTTGTAAGTAGAGATGCTTAAGCATGTTTTTTTTTACCTGCTTTACCTGCACCCATTAAACAAACACTGGTGTATTAATTTTCTGTTGCTGTAACAATTACCTCAAAGTTAGCAACTTAAAACAACAGTCACTTATTCACTCACAGTTCAGTACATGGCATGGCTGAGTTCTCTGCTCAGGGTCTCATGAAGGTGAAATCAAGCTGTTGTTTGGGACTGCAGTCTCATCTAACATTTGTGACCCTCCTCCAAGCTCACGTAGGTTTTAGGCAGAACTCAGTTCCTTGACACTGAACCAGGATTCCTATTCCCTTGCTGACTGTATAGTCAGGGGCCTCTCTTGGCTCCTAGAGGTTACCCATGTTCTTTTCCATGTGGCCCATTCCATCTTCAAAGCCAGCCATGAGGGATCTTCCTCCCATCAAATCTCTCTCACATTCTGAATCTCTTTCTCTAGGTAGAGTCTTGTGCTTTTCAAAGGTGTCATCTGATTAGGTTAGGCTTACTAATTGTCATCTCTCCATTTAAAAGTCAACTGATTGTGAATTCCCTGGTGGTCCAGTGGTTAAGAATTCACCTTGCAATGCAAGGAATGTGGGTTCAATCCCTGGCTGGGGGACTAAGATCCCACATACCATGGAGCAACTAGGACTGTGTGTCTCAACTACTGAACTGGTGTGCTCTGGAGCACACATGCCACAACTAGAGAGCCCATGCACTGCAAGGAAAAATCCTGAATGATGCTATGAAAATCCTGCGTGCCACAGTCAACTAAGACCAGATGCAGTCAAATAAATAAGTGTTACCAAAAAAAAAAAGTGATTTAAGATCTTCATTATATCTGCAAAATCCTCTCTCAACAGCACCTAGGTTAGTGTTTAAATGTGAAGGAATGCATACACAGACATATGGAAATCTTGGAGGATCTTAGAAATTTTTTTCACAATGGAAAATATAACTTTCATAAAAAGGGACAGAAATCTGCAGCCTTCAGAGGAAAGCGTGTGAGATATAAAATATTCTGTAATTTTTGTGGAGTTGGGAAGAGACTATTAAAAGGGAATTTTATTTTAATGGTAAATTATAAGACTATTTTATTCAAGTAACAACTTGGGAGAATACAAAGTGAACTCTTATAAAGTAGGAAAAGAGCTGAAAGTAATCCCTAGTTGTGACCTAATTAGCACATTGCATTCCTTTAAAGAAAACACAAGTACAGAAGACATTTATTTAGAGTAATGTAACCTATAATCTGTGAAATCCAGTTTATCCATTACCTTCATTAAGTTTGATTATTCATTGTTTAAAAGAGTTTATTTATGGTATGATTTTTCCAAAGATGTTATC